CCAACAGGCCTTGCTTGTGTAATTCTTGCAACCCTTTCTGGCTTATGTGCCAGAGCCTATGATGCCAGAGTTCAGTCTTGTCTTCTATACCTTGATTTACAGAAACAGCTGCTCCCCCAACTATAGTGGTCCCAATTAACTTATACAGCTTATTGGGTTGTAGGTCACCCCGCATTACCACCAGTGATCCTTTGGCTACCCTGAGTCTTCCCTTTTTAGACTCATACCCATAACCGGCCTCATCTAAAGTACCCAAGGAAATCAAATTCTTTCTTAGTCTAGGGACATATCTAACGTTCCCCAAAACTCGTATCATCCCATCAAACATTCTGATTTGAACAGTGCCGATTCCTTTTACAGGACATGAAGAATCGTCCCCCATTAAAACTTCCCCGCTGCTGACTTCTTTGTAAGTATCGAACCATTCTCTTACTGCACACATATGAAAAGTGCATCCCGTATCCAAAATCCAATTTGTGAAAGCCTTGGAGCCTGATGTTACTGAAAGAAGCTCCCCGTCACTCTCATGCTCGGTGACTGCACTAGCTGAACCTGAGCTTCCTTCCCTCTGGCTTTCTTCTCTTTCCAAATCTTGCAGTTCCTCTTCCAATGATCGGCTGAACCACATTCGAAGCAACCTTCCTTCTTTTCCTTTTTCTTCTTGGATTTTGACCTACCTCTGTTGCCTGTTTTGTCTTCCTTCGTCTTTTCCCGCCCCCTCTCCTTGCCTTTGGCATAAAGGCCTTGAGAGCTTTCAGTTATATCATCTAGTTTAGCATATGACTGAAGAGCTTGAATCACGTCTTCAAGCTTCAGGGACTCTTTTCCAAACATTAGAGTTGTTCGAAAGTGCTTGAAAGACGAAGGTAGAGACCTCAGCAAGATGATAGCCATATCATCATCTTTGTAAGTTTCTTCGACCTTCTGAAGATTAGTTATGCAATTTTGAAACCTGCATACGTGATCTTCAATATCACCTCCTTCTTCCAGTCGAAGTCCGAATAGTTCATCCTTTAGAAAAAGTTTATTGGACACGGTTTTGCCCATATAAACATTCTCCAACTTTTCCCATGCTTCTTGGGCAGTCATCTTTTCGGTGATGTGTGACCGAACTGATCTTGTGAGATGGATCTCGATGGAACTCTTGGCCTTCTTGAGAACCTTGGTCCATGTTGCGTCTGTCATGCCTGTCGGCTTCTCACCGCTGAGTGCATCATCCAAATCTTGCTGTATCAGTACGTTCTTCATCATCCTTTGCCAATCCGTGAAGTCATCCTTGCCGTCAAAGGGCTTTAACGCAGGTCCTAGATCCGCATTCATCTTCCCTTTAGACATCGTAGAACCCTTAACCTAGGCTCTGATACCACTTGTTTAATAACCCGCCTTCTAGATCTTGTTCTTTGATGTAACCAACGGCAATAGACTAAACTAGCAAATATTAAAACACTTAGAAACACACAAGAATTATACTGGTTCGGCAGAACTTTTGCCTACGTCCAGTTGTGATTTCTCTAGGTAGAGAAATCACCGCTCCTTTGATTAATAATAGAGATTACAGAACTTTTGCAACCCTAGAACTAATCTCAAAACTCTTGGCTGTCTCTGGCTGTTTTTCCTCTTTTTAAAATAAGCCTTGCCACACCCTATTTATAGATATAGAGTTGGCTTACATGTCCCAAGGCTGATTGGATTCCTATTCCTAAGTGGATTAGGAAATTACACTTATCCAAATCCTAATAGACTTCTAGAAATCCAAACCTGAATTGATTAAGGAAAACTGAAATTCTTTCCTAATCCCTCTAGGACAAGAATTGGTATACCTCTAATTTTCCTAAAACAATCCTAAACCAACTAGGACATATTTGACGAGCCAAAATCCTAACAGCAAGTGGCCAAAAGCTTAGAGAAACTAATGAAAATTTTGTGTGGAAAGGTTTTGGATTAAGGAATAGAATTCATTTGGTAAAAGTGGGAAATTTGGTTTTGTTGCCGTGAGAAGGGTGGTATTGGGATGGGTACATATGATGTGACTGGTTGGGGAGAGTTCCTTCGTTAAGGGTACCTTTGGCATTACCAGCATTAAATCAAATATGCCTTAAATGTGAAGGGTACCTTTGGGAAGTGGTTGGGTTATGCCTTACATGTCAATGGATAGGGATTCTAATATAGTGGTTAGAGGCTCCATTTTTTCTTTTGTTTCCTTCTTTCCTTATTTTCTTCTTGTGGTGGGGAATGGGGAAGTAATTTTGCTTTTCTGATGCAGGATAAGAATGGATAGGAAGAAAAAAGAGATCTGGACTCATCCCGGTCTTTGGCATCACACCAAAGGTTTCCAGTAGAGATTAGAAAATTCCGGCATTGCACTGGCCTTCGGCATCACACCGAAGGTGCCTTGGAATCACTCTCCAAGTCAACTTGTGCCTCACACACAAGCAGTAATTCACATAACTTTTTTCTTTCACTAACTCAGCTTTTAAAAGCTTACAAAGTAGCCCTTGTTTGAGGCTAATAGGTAAATGAATCTGGAAAAGAACCACATGAATACACTTAATGCTAAAGACATAATTATGAGGCCTAATACATTAATCATGTGACATAGAGGTAGGCTTTATTTTAGTTGGGTTTTGATTAGGGTTCATTGGTCTAAATTTTCTTACTCCTCTTGCTATTTTGGATCCATTTTTTAAGAAAATCATTAGTTTTTGCTGTGTTAAATGATAATGTCGGCAAAATATTGTGGATATTGGGAGTATTTTGCCGATATCAGGAAATTCCGGGGATACCGGGGAAGAAATTGTCTTCAGCACCCCCTCTTATTGGTGTTGACCCTCGAAAACACTTGCATATCTGGATATCAGCCGATATTTTCATCCTTGTATATAGACGCACATATATAGTAAACAACTCATTTCAAGAAAGAAATGAAGACATCACACAGGCAAACTAGGCGATAAAAGGCCTCGGTACTTCACTGGGACATTATCTCAAATATGATGTAGGAAAATTGGGTTCCCAATCAGAAATTACAGAATTACTTGGTAAGGTGGTTTTCGAAAAAAATTTGGTGGTGTTAACTACATTGCTTTTTATTTATGTTATGGTTTATAGTGTGATACAAGGAATTTGTGGCCACAGGAACCTATCTAGCTATTTGCTAGTGTTTTCTGCGTCTTCTTATGGTTCTTATAGTGTGGTAAGCACAAAAAACTTATCAACTTCGACATTAGTACTTGAATCTGTCAGAAGGTCGACATGGTTACCAGCAATGAAGGGATTATTGTGCTCATGTTCATTTTGGCTTTCTGGAGATGGTTCGATCATAAAGCATGCTATGTTTTTCTAATGTCATTTTACCATTCCAAAATGCTTTTCCATTGTTTCATTTTGTACTTTTTTTCTCTGCAGGAAATTGAAAAGATGTTGCCATCTGAATTATCAGCGGAAACAAAATATCAGCTTCGAAGAATAAGTTCAGCCTTTTTCTGAGTTGTCTCTGCACCCAGCGTTGTAGTTGTCAAGTGTCGGGACTAATATCTTGGCTTCATGTAGGTTCTCATCACCAGATGGCTGGTCAGTCCTGCCGCTGATGTGCATCTGACCTTCGAACCGCACCAGTAGGATCCTGTTGTGTACATTTATGATTAGCTGATCTCGTAAAATATACCGCAGCAAAAATGCCATGTCTATAGTTTTTAGTTCTGTTTTGCTGGGAATACAATTTCAAGAAAAAAAGATTGAGTTCATTGTGTTTGAGGGTGCACATTGTTATGATTCTATTTTGGGCAAGCAAGGGGTATTATATATTATTGGTTTAAGCTGATTCTTTTTCCTAAAGGTATCTTCCCAAATAGATAGTGTTGAAAAAATGGCAACAATCTTTGACGATGGATGAAATTTTTGGAGCTCTCAATACCAAAATCAGTTTTTCAGAGCAGCAGTGTATCAACATAGAGTGCTGCATTTTCTACCCCCTTATCCTATTTCCCCACACACTATCTTATCTTTTCACCCACCCATTATTCATAAAATACTCTTTAATTATTAATTCAAACAAATTCTCTCTTATTATTAATTATTAATTTGATTTTTGTCCCTTCCGAAGAGGTTCGGGTTTTTCTAGCACCCTCAGTCTAACGACTAGGGTTTGGTAGGGTTCTGTAAGTTTTTGCTTGCGTTTTATGGCTGATCTCAAGGGCATCTTTCTCATTACATGTACGGTGGAAGTTTTGTCCAAGCAGGGTTATCTTCTTGTCTTCGGATTGCGGTGGGAAGCATCGAGTGGATTAGTGGATTACGACGGTTGTTGATGATCTGGTGTCCGGTCTAACCTCTCACTTGGCAATCTCAGAATCTAAATAAGTTGAGGTTGTCGGGTTAGAGGATTTGGGGAACTTAAAGGCTGAACATTTCTTGTTGGTTGGGAAGTTGCACACGTCAAAAGCATTTCACAAGAAGGCTTTATTTGGAGCGATGAAGAAGATTTCGCATATAAGGGAGGAGTTCACTATGGTGTCTTTGGACGACCCCAAGAGATTCCTTTTTTTCTTTCAAGTCTGATTTTGACTGTAAGAAGGTGATGAAGGGATCCCTTTGGACTTTTGATAGAACGCTATTACTACTGGCGGGTACTGATGGTGAGGTGGATAAGATGTCCATCTCGGTGGATACATAAAGTTTTTGGGTTAGAGAGCGGCGTATTCTACCGCTATTTTTGACGCCAGCCATGGGAGAAAAATTTGGGAATTTTTTGGGTACATTTTACATGGTGGATCACGACTTAAATGGAGGTTGTTTGGGGAGTTTCTTGCTATTAGAGTTGGTTTGAAAATCACTAAGCCGCTGAAAAGGTGTGTCGCACTTAGACTTTCGGCAGATAAACCGGCCAAACAGTATGGGATAGGATATGAGCTTCTCTCGTATTTTTGTTTATACTGTGGATGGCTGGACCATGTGGGTTCTTTATGCAGTATCAAGGCTTCAGGGGCTATAGAGGCTGAACAATGGTGAAGGTGGAAAACGATAATGAAGGATATGTGTCGTATTTGGTAGAGAACAACTTGAAGGGCAAGCGTTCTGGTTTGTTAGACAGTGACTTTCAGCAGGAGGATTGGGTTCAGACTCCATCCAAGATTACGGGGGTGGTTCGATCTCTTGATGAGGCTTTTACAGGGCAAGGTTTGATAGGGGTGGATAGTGTGTTGGACTGCTTTTCGGCGTAAGTCTTTAAAAGGCGCCGAGTGCACAAGGAAAGGGAGGTTGTGGCTCTTTCACAGGGTGCAGATGGTGTGAAGGAAGGCCATATTTCAAGGATAGTGATTGTGAACCGAAAGGTCTAGGGTTCTGCAATTTTGGATACAAGTCAACATAATATGGCAGGGGACATTTCTCAGACCCTTCCTACTGTGGCTCCTGCTCTCTCTAGGCCACCAGATTCTTTATGCAAGGGTAGTAAACAACATGGTTTTCGTGTGGGCAATTCTCAGTCCCAGAGGAGTCTCAAGAAGAGTAAGGATAAAACGAAATCAGGAGTTGTTTACAAAGAGGGGAGATGGTGCTCATATTACATCTAGTGCTAGTCGCACACTGGTTATGGGTCCCAGGGGCCAGGCCCATCACGAGAAATGACGATATTATGCTGGAATGTTTGGGGTGTAGGCAACCTGTGAACATTCTGTGCTCTGAGATTCATTCTTAGAGATAAAAAGCCTTGTGTCGTCTTTTTATCGGAGACCAAAAAGATGGTGCACTAGATGAAGGGTGTGCAACGACAATTGGGTATGATGAGGTGTTGGCAGAGAAGGATTGTTAGTGGTTTAGCTTTATTATGGCAACAAGGAGTGGAAGTAATTGTTCTTTCTTCTTCTCGAGGGCATATTGATGTCATTTTGCATGGAGTGGAAATGGAGACTTTCCGTTTTATTGGGTTTTGTGGTAATCCCAATATGAGGCTACGACGACACTCTTGGGATTTGCTTCATCGAATTGGAGGGTCTATTCATGGCCCACAGCTAGTGGGAGGTGATTTCAATTAAATTCTTAAGGCCCATGAGTACTTTGGTAGGAGATTCCGACCCATGTCGTAGATGAGGGCTTTTTGGGTGATTGTGGATTGACTACTATTGGCTTTAAGGGGTATAAATTTACATGGTCTAATAGATGGCATGGTGACGGGAATGATAAACTTAGGTTGGATAGAATGGTGGCTAATGGTGAAAATTTTTTTATGACTTTTCCAGAGGCAACAACGTATCATCTTAATTCTATTATGTCCGACCATCTTCCTTTGTTAATGTATGTGAGGCCCGATTATTGGGAGAAGAGGAAGAGGCGGTTTTTGTTTGAGATGTGGACTACTGTTGAGGGTTGTCAGGACACCATCACTCATGCTTTGGAGTCTGAACATGGAACTGTAGTAGAGAAATTGAAGGCCTGTCAAGGGTCCTTGTGGACATTGAATAATGAACAGGTGGGGCGCATACCCACAAAACTTCGGAGCCTCCAGAGGAAACTAGATGATATCCAAAGGAGAAGCTATTCACCAGTAGTTGAGTATAAATAGAAAAATATAAGTAGTGAGATTGATGTGCTACTGGAAAGGGAAGAGATGTTGTGGAGACGACAGAACATGATATTATAGACGACCACGGGGTTTAGTGCACGTCTATTGAAAGCGTTTGCGTTACTTTCTTTGATTATTTTCAAGGTTTGTTTACTTGTAATGGAATAAATGAGTCCGGGGTAGTTACTGAGGTGGTCAAGCCAATGGTCAATCAAGCTCAGAATATGCACCTCAATCAAGCTTTCTTACAGGAGGAAATTGAAACTGCATTGAGACAAATGTTCCCTACTAAGTCTCCAGGAGTGGATGGTATGCCGACGTTGTTCTATCAGAAGTATGGGGGGTGGTAGGTGAGATGTGGTTGGCTTCTACCTCAATGTCTTGAATGGGGGCACCAGTGTAAAAGAAGTTAATCACACACTTCTTACTCTTATTCCTGAGGTGGACAAGCCAACGAAAGTCACTGAGTTTCAGCCGATTAGTTTTTGTATTGTATGGTGATTTACAAGATGAATTTCACGATGATAGTTAACAGGTTGAAGCCCATTATGCCCCTTATCATCTTGGAGTTTCAGAGCACTTTTTGCCCCTACATGGTTGATCACGGATAACATTATTGCTACCTTTGAAAGCATACATGCTATAAAAAGGCATGGAGGGAGTAAGTAGAAGAAAATGGTGTTAAAGCTTTGATATGTTTAAAGCATAAGAGTAGAATGGTCTTTTATTGAGGCTATGCTTAAGAGCTTACGTTTTAATGATCAATGGGTGAGTCTAATCATGGATTGTATCTCCACTGTTACCTATTCTATCTTTTAATGATCAATGGGTGAGTCTAATCATGGATTGTATCTCCACTGTTACCTATTCTATCCAAGTTCAGGGGGTGGTTTCGGGATGATTGTGTCGTTGAAAGGGCTGCGTCAGGGAGATCCTCTCTCCCTATATATGTTTTTAATATGTGTGGAGGGACTGTTTGCTTTCACTAGAACGAAAAATGCTCTAGACGTCGGTGGACCACCGTCGTCTAATGTGCTACCAGGCCGTCGTATAGGTGACCACCGTCTATTGTGACACTTTAGACGACAATGATTCACCGTCGTCTGTTAACCACTTAGAAAATGGTTTTACAGTTCAGACGATGGTGATCCATCGTAATCTATTTGTCAATTTAGATGACAGTGGATCACCGTCATCTATTTGTTATTTTTTGTTGCCTTAATGGTAATTAGATGACAGTAGAATTTTGTTACCGTCATCTAAGTGGTGATATTTTGTAATGGTATTTGTGGGTTAATATCCTCTTTTTGGGTTGTTTCATTTGCAATTAATGGACTTTTTCAATTCTCAAAACATGTTTCAAAATATTTCAATTAAAAAATGTAATCAAATGTAATCTCATACAACAAAATGCTCCAAAATACAAAAGAATTCATCACAAGCAGTTGTTGAGCATAAATTTTTCTTCTAAGTTACCCATAAAATTCACTCCCAAGGTCTACGTACAACTCCCCTAGAAATTCTGCTCCTTTACCACGCACTTCATCAATCTCCTTTTGGGTGTAACTTTGATCACTTCTCTTCTCCGACTGAAACATAATAAATAAATAAATAAATAAAAATTAGTCAATAAGTTTAATATCATGGTAACATATTTCTCAAGTCCTTCATATGACTCATATTAAAAACTTAACAATAATGTTCAAAGCAACCCCACTTTTTAGTCCATCAAAGGGAATGTATATTTTCCGTCAAGATGAGCATAACCATTTTACCAAGCGCTGCTAAACCAGACGGAAGCAGAAACAATGCAGGGGAAACAAGAAAGAACGAAAGAGAACAAGAAGAGGAAATGCGACGCAAAAACTACATTGGACTGAAAAACAAGGCATTCAATAATTACAAATGACTATTAATTTTGTAAGAATGATTCTTAGCATATGTAAAGCAAGTTTCACCAAATTTCAGCAGATGTAAAGCGCAGGCTAGGAGCTAACTTTTACCTTTGATGTAGCTTCCTAATGAAATGAAAGACATACATGTACGCTAGAATGGTGAGAATAGCCTTCCCTGAAAACAATAATATGAAAAATCATAAGATAAGTTTCCTAACAAGCCTAGATAAAGTTACAGTCAATAAGTTATTCGGCATGAAATTGTGATTTTAAACACTTGGCTTTTCTAAAAATCTGGTGGGCTACAGATCAGGATAAAAATGTCTAACATTAATACTGATACAAGTCACACATCAGAAGGTGAATGTCCATTCTTCTGAGAAAGTACTGTATGGTGCGTTTGGATGAAGGAATTCTAATTTTCATAGAATTTTTAAATGACGGAATTTGTAATTACAACATTTCACAGTACGTTTGGATGAGGAAATTTAAAAGTACAAAGGATTTCATAAATGAAGGAATTTAAAATGACTGAAATTAATATTCTAGAATTTGTAAAGTTTCTTGTTTGGTGAGGGATTTAAAACACGGAATTTAACCTTTATTTGTAAAGTTATCTTTTTTAAAAACATCTCTCTTGGGATTTTAGAAATGACAGCTTTTAGATAGAATTTAACGTTGGGATTTATGATCTCCAAATTCCATGCTTTTTCCCATGCGGAATTTCTAAATTTTTATGTTTTTTTTTAATCTAAATACGGGAATTGGTTCATGTCAATTTAGAAATTCTGGGTTTTGTCAAAATCCCAAGTTTAGGAAATGACGGATATTACAATTTCTCTTGTTTGGATAATCATAGAAGGAATTTTAAAACTGAAACTCGCAGAGAATAAGGAGGCTTAAGAATAAAAAAAACATGCAATCATGTGAAGGCTCTTTGACAAGATAAGTTTCATTATACCATGCTACAACTATAGCAATGACAGATGTAATGGTACCAAGAATAATTGACATTTTTTCCCTATTTTCTTCTTCATCTCTAGCACGCTTGCGACTTAAATGTGTAAGAAAGTTATCTACATCATCACTAGCCATACTTGTTTATATTTTCAAATAATCTTATTATGTAGTCATATCAAACACCAACAAAAATGTCATCGTAGAACTAATTAGTCATACTTGAGATATCAGTAGAATGAATTTAAAGAAAGCAAGAAAGAAAAGCAAGAAAGGTAAGTATGACTGGTGGGGGCTTCTATAACAGAAACTATAAGGTAGTATAATCCCCTCAACCATAACAAACTTTGACGAATTTAGCTTAACCGGAAAGCTTCTTCACACCCTATCATCTCTCTCCCAAATCAATTTCAGCTAAGTTGGAAATCTTCTCCAAGATGAGATGGAGCAGTAGAGGATAATAAAGGTGACTTTGAAGAAACAGACATGAAAACCAAGATTCAAACTTGAAGAAAATGAAAATGGAAAGAAGGTATTATTATGTCTATGAAAACAGAGCAAACCGTGTATGGTTGTAACAAATTGGTGTGGTTACTCAAGAAGCCACATAATGCTTCACATAGTTGCTTTAAAAAAGAAAAAGAAAAATTACATAATGCCTCATTTGCTATATATTATGCATTTCTTGTTTCACAAATAGAAAGCAAAACAATTATAACTTGGCTACCCAACAAAAACAAACCAAAGAGCATTGGAAGACCCATGAAAAACAAAGATGAATAGTGCTTTGCAATGACAAAGCTAAATTGACCATGTTTAAAAGCAAATAAAACTAGTGAAGCTAAATATTTGTCTTATGCAATAAAATCCCAATTTGCAATAATACAGACCTTTTCCACTGGTTTGACAAACCTCAGAAACAAATTCTCTTATTAAACCCAAAAGTTAGTCAAACAGAGAGAAGAAGAGACCATAACAGAAACTACAAGGTAAGCTATAATCTCCTCAACCATAACAAACTCTGAGGAACCCTATCATAAATACATAGTAAAATTATGCAGCCAGAAAGTGCAAAAAGCAATAATTTCACAACATATAATCTATCCTTCATTGGAACAACACAGATTGAAAATCAAGGATAGGTTGAGACTATACCTTTATTGGAGCAACACAGAGTCTTAGACTGAAAGATGATAGATGGCAATAATCTAAAAACCAAACACTCTCTATTAGATAAAAAATTGGGTCGATATCTGGTTTCAAAAAGAAACCAGAAGAGATAATACGAACAGAGCCCAATCAAACCCATTAGATTGAATACCCATCAATATTATCAACCAAAAATTACAAAATTGGAACTAGATTGAAAGCTCCCTAGGGAACTTGGATGGATGCCCTTCTTCACCCACTCTTGTTAGAAAACTGATATGGGTGTATTTGTTGAGGAGACTTGGTGCGCAGCAAATGCAATTTCCCCCACTCTTGAGATTTGCACAATTCCACCAATTATGATAGGATTTGAACTCGGGATTTTGGATTGGAAAATCCCTCCATATTTCCCGCAAGTGATTTGCCAAATCCCTAGCAGATTTTGCCGAACGCATGGAAATCCCTTTTCCATAGGTGAAATTCCCATTTTTTTCAAATCCCATCTTTTTTTCCTTTTGCCAAACATGCGGTAATAGTCCCCAGAAACAGAAGAAATGGATAATAAGTAATAACTTTGACAGATAGTGAAAATGTTGTCCCTTGATTCATAAATATTACTTATTGTCTTATAGGATCTGGCAAGAACATCTCAACCACAAGATTCACACCAAACCCATACACTATCCCACCACAACAACTACACAGACCAAAAGGAAAGCAAAGAAATTAGCTCATTAAATTGTGTATGGCAATCCAAAATCCAAAGCATCTTATCGAACAAGCTTGAAAGGGGCTGAACACAAAGCTTACCTAATTTTTAGTTTCCTGAAGTTGATTGACAGTAGCTAACTTTCACCTCTGTTCCACTGTCCTCTCACTCTATCCTTTTTCCCCAAATTGAAACAATCAAATGACTCCTTGCCTGAAAACAAACCGAAACATCATCAACTTCCAGAACGACCCATATTCTTGGTAAAATCTTGGAAATTAAAAAGAAATGAAGAGAGAAGACTAGAAAAATCAGAAAACTTAATAGATTGAGTAAAACTCACCAAGATTCAAACCCAAATGACACCCAAGCGAAAAAAACAAACATTAAAACCTAGAACCTTTGTGTTCACCCGTTTTGATTTTAATCCTGTGATGGCAGGGTAAAGTTCCCCATTGGCTTGACAACCATTGGTGGTCAACAAGTCAACTTTCTTTTGTTATGAGCGTGCCACTGCTAGCAATTAAAAACCCTAGCAGACTTCTTAAAAATAGATAACTTGTACCCCAAGTTATTGATTTTTAAACAAGCGATTGTGAATTTGGGTGAGGAATATCTCCTAAGTAAGTTCTTTTCTTTGCGTTAGATTGGTAATGACTTCATAATTTTCACAGTACAAAATGGGTAGTTCTGGCCAGAATAGAGAAAAGAAGACAAACTGTTTTAGGCAAAATTGCCTACTACAGGACTCAAAAATGAAATGACAACTCCGAAGCAAGACAACAGGATGCTGGACTTCGATTTCTGCCTGGGTAACTGCCTCTGAACCAGGCTAGATTGGATGTGTTTGTGCTAGATTGGCTTGTCAACACCTTCAAATAATGAGTTTTAGCTAGAAATCAATACCAACGTTTGAGTCTGATAGACCTTTAATTTATTTCAGGCCATGGAAGGCTTGCTGAACGGGCAGAATTGAGGCCTCTTCAATTTGGAGGGGGCAAAAGTGGCTGGATTGATGATTATTGAGCTGGAGTTGCACTTTAGTGCCTGTTCTGCTTGACCGAGAGGCTTTCTATAAATTTACTTAGGTTTTCATATTTGTAAAAACCCGGACTCTGCTTGACTTGGCTTTGTGCTGAACCAAATTTGTAACGAGAGAAGTCTCACTTGTAAAACTATTTTCCTGAACTGAACTGGAATAAAAAACTTGAATTCTAGCTGACTTGTTTCTTGTGGCTTAATGAGCTTTGGTTGCTTCAATGTTTGAAGGCTTTTGAGATCAATGGATCTTCTTGAGTTTGTCAATTGTGACTTTGAGAGTTTTTGTCTTGATTGATATTTTGGCTGTTCTCTTGATCTGTTCACCTATTCTCATATTTATAGAAAATGCTGGAGTGGGACTTCTAATCTTTTAATAATGGGCGGCAGATTTTCCAAAAGAAAGATCTTTTATTTTAAATGCCAAGAAAAAAGGAATTTTATCTATTCTGACAAAGAAAAATCATCAACAGTCAGTTTCTATGGTGGTCTTTTCCTTGCTTTTTCTGAAAGAAAGACCAACTCTCTTTGTTTTTGTTTGTTACTTGCAAAAAAAAAGAACACAATCCGCCATGATGGTCAATTTGCTTTTCCTGTTTGAACAACTCCCCTGCTTCCTACTTATCTCTTGAGATTGTAGTCTGCTTATCTCTTGGAAGGATAACCCTCCTTTTCTATGTGTATATATATATATATATAAAGGGATTTGATCTTCTTCCTTGACTACAAAGACTGGAGAAGTCTTCCTTTTAGACATGCCTTCATTAATTCTCAATCAACTCCTCTTGTGATAGTTGAAATTTTTTACTTTTCAAAGTCAAGCAGTCACGTGGGGCTTTTCTAGGAAAACATTCTTTTAGTGGGAAAAGATCTACTAAATTGCTTTTTGAGACTAAGTGGACAGATTTCTTCAAAAGCTGTTTTTAATCCGATTTTGTGAAGGTTTTGACCTGCTTGGTGATGAATTGCCATTTAATTGGCAATTTTACCCATTCATTCTTGTGTTTATTGAACCTCTGCCATTTTTTTGAAAAAGACGTGGGCCTCTAATGCTGATTGGGCTGCTTCCCTTTTCTCTAAAGCCCAAGACTGTTCATTTTATCATGGGTTTGGCAAATTCTGGGCTAGGCTTGCAAAATTTCGAGAAATTAGTCTGGGCTTTCTTTATTTTGGGCTGCTCTTTAGTTTTCTTTAAAACATTACGCCCAAGTTGTGCTCATGTTTGTGGGTTTCAAAAATAGGCTAGGCTTCGCACAATTTTAGGCCCAAACACTTTGAAACAACCCTCGTATCAAAACCCCTGAGTTCCTCTCCATTTGTGTGACGTCTCTCTCGGTTCCCTTTTTCTTCTTCCTTTATGTTTTCTGGTTCTCAGCCTCTATATATATTTTCTTTTGGATTAGCCCACAACAGCACTACAAGAGAAAAGATAAACAGAGTAATATTAGACACTAAAATTACCCAAGAATTCTGTGGCGGCGACAACAAGGTATTTTCATTTTGCCACTCTTTTTTTTTATTGAAATGCACCTTTTATGTGAATTTTTGCATAAACCTTTGAAATTATGCATGAACATTTGAACATTATCCTTAGAGTAAAATATTAGGCATTCCATCCATTAGGCACCTTGCTTTGATATTTGGCATGCTGTTTAGTATCGTTCATTTGTGTTTGTAGATGTCTAATAGTTCTGATAAAGTGAACAGTCCCCGCATCTTTGGGAAAGAAACGGAAAGTGAGGAGCGTACCATTTCTAAAGGTGCTGGTGATGAAAGCACTGAATCCGAAGGTATTGTGGAGGGTTTAATAGAAGAGGGTAGGGTTGGGGGTAATAGGTAAGTTCTGGGGGGTGAAGCTTATAAGGAGATGCAAAGGAATTATGTTACGCTAGAGGCAATGGCCAATCGTGTTCTTGATATGCCTTATACACCAGAATGAGGTCAAGCAACTAGGCGGGGCGGTCTGGGTCTGGTAATGTGGTGGTAGCTTCTGTGCCAATTGGGTGGATGTTCCAGTGGGGGTTTCACCACCGAAGAGAAACAAGATGATTTTTTATGAGTTGGAAGAGTTTAGAGCAGAGTATGGGGTGCCCTTTTCAGTGCGGCTAAAGCTGCCAGCTTCGACACATGTAGTGAGGTGTCCACTTGAGGGTTGTGTTTTGATTTTCTCGGAAATTTACAAGTATGTGTTCAAGTTGTCGTTGCATCCATGGGTTCAGATGATGTTGGCAAAGTTTGGTTATGCACCAGGGCAAAATAACCCCAACTTCTAGATCGTACTTCATGAGGTTGTATTTGGCTTGGTGGTTGGCAAAGCTAGGGGAGTCGACCTTTGAGCAATTCATGTACCTGTACTCCGTCTCCAAACAAAAGGGCAATTTTGGTTGGGTTCAGACTAATTGCCGAAAGGCAAAGGAGAGAGGTTACTTCATAAGGCGCATGCCTTCATCACAGAAGTCATAGAGGAATTAGTGGTTCCTTGCCTGCAGTGACTGGGAGTATTTTTCGGGGAAGACCGTTGACAGACATATGCCTACCCATTTCCAATATATAGGTCTTTGGTCATAACTTTTTTATTTTTGTTGCTTGCATGTGCTTGTATAAATTGTCTTGCTACCGATCGGTATAAGTGAACCTAACCGTATTCTTGTTTGTGTAGGTACAGTGAAGTGCAATCCTTTGTCGAAGGAGAAGGAAGACAAGGTAGAGTTGGTGAGGTCGTTGCTTTTGACAGAGAGGCGAGAGTACAAGAATTTGGTAATGCCAGGGCACTTGCTTGAATAAGGGTTGTTGCAAGGAAGTAAGTTGGGTTTCTTTGCATCTATTTTTCATTATTTTTGTTTTTCTAACTCCCAGTTTGGGTTATTGGCTGTAGCGAGGACTATGAAGGGAACGACAACAGTGGCAGAGTCACCGAATGTGGCAAAAATAATGATGAGAAGAAGCAATGCCTCAAGGAAAGGAGAGAGAAGGACAAGGCCGCCAAGGTCAGAAAGGTAGAAGAAAAGCAGGCCAAGGGCATCGCTGGTGCCACAGAAGGTATTGCCAAAGGGTCTGAAAGTGCTATCGGGAAGCGCATGCGAGATGATGATGATAGGCTAGTTTCAACGGCCTTAGATAAAAAGAAAAAAGGCTTAGAGGCTGCCATAAGGATGTCATGGATAACGAGCTAGGGCTACTGTCGTTTGACTTGGAGCCCTTCCTAAACTTTTGCTTGACATGGAGGAGTTGTTCCCTGTAGATGATGAAGATATTGACTTTGCTATGGTTTGGCGGCAGAAGAATGAGGTGACTTGGCCACGCATCATTACGAGCTGCCCTTCATGAATGCCTTCCTCATCAGGGTAAAGATTGACGCTGGGGAACTAGCTCATACCAAAGCTACCGACTTCTCAGATCGTGTGTAGTAGACAGTGCTGTCTTCAGCCAATGTAAGTGTCAAAACTATTTGTTATTGATTGTTGACAACAACTGTGTTCAGACAATTGTGCAATCATCTGCAGGCTTTTGGGGAGATGTATCTGACCACAGCTAAAGAACAATAGGTTTGAAAGGGAGTTGAAGGAGACGAAGAAAAAAATTAGGGGTGGAAAATGAGGCCCTTACCGAGGCAAAGTGGATGAAAGTGGAGGAGGTCGTGCTGCTCGTGCCAAGGCAGTGGAGGAGTGTAAGGCTTCAAATGAATTCAAGAACCTTGTACTCAATGGGATGGTGGTGGAGCAATTTGGTTGGGAGAAGCTTGTGGCGACGTTCAATATGACTGAGAGTTTTGGTTCTGATTTTAATTTTTGCTGTCCTTTCTCCAATTCACATTCTCTTATATTTATAGGAAATCTATATGATGATGATTCCTTAATATCTGGAGGATATTTGCTAAAAAGTGTTTTCTCCAGCAAATAAGGTAGTAGTAGTTATTTTGATAGAAACGATTCATATCAAGAGCCAACTATGGTGATCAATTTTGACTTTTTGTTAATCAACTCCCCTAAATGCCTCTTGCCCGTTCCTTGCAAACTGGAATTAAATGTCTCACTGATGAAATCTTCAGTGGTATGGAAGGAAACCCAACCTGTTTTCCTAGAATTTAATGGTTATAGGGAGTGGTTTCTGTTTTTACCTTTCTACCAACTCTCTTGAATGTCCTCTGTCTGTTTCTTGTTGATGTCTTGTCGTTGGAATCACGTGGGTATTGCGGAAAGAAACTCAACCCCTCTAACTCTAGAGCCACTGATCTAGCTTTGAATCAATAACCAACGGTGATGATCAAACCTCAAGCCTTTACAAATGTAATCTGGAAACTAGGTAGAAATTAAACCAATTAAATCCAGGCTTTTAGATTAAATCACCATTGGTGGTAATGAACATCTACCCTTTGAAAATTAATTTGGATAATTGGTTTCATTTTAACTCCCCCCTTCTTGAAATGACCTGGGCTGATCTTTAATTATGGTAAATAGAGCCCAAGTCTGTTTTGTCAAAAAATAGCCCAATAGCCAGATGGGCCGGGGTGCAAAATTAGGCCTAAACACTTTTGCTGATTTTTTAGAGGTTCCTTTGCATTCTTTGGCCCCTGTGGAAATGGATCAATTTTGCCTGTCTTGTTTGGCGAGAATGGAAATTAAGGAATGATGAGCTCTATGGAAAGCATGGATGTAATTCTGTTGACTGGTTGGAGAGGACTTCAGATTATTTAGAACAATTCAAGTAACATTCAATGTGCGTCAAACCACCCCAGGTGGAGTGATATGTGCGTTGGATCAAACCACCACCACAATTCTTGTTAATGTATTGTGAAGGCGCTCCTGGCAAGGGAGGCAGAAGGTGAGGCCTAGGGGAGTTGGTGCATGATTCTGAAGGAAACTTAAAATGGGGTTTTGTTTGTGGTGGGGGGCTCACACACATATATTTATTGTCCACTTATTGCACACATATCACATATGCTGAAATTTTGTTCTCTCTCAGCTCGCTCAGCTCCCTATTCACTCACTCTCTCTCTCTCTCTCTCTCTCTCTCTCTCTCTCTCTCTCTCAACCCTCCCTCAACCCCATCGTTTAGGTATGTCTTCTAAATAGCTGCTTGCAACCTTGAAGCTCTACTGGATTGTCTCAAATAGGTAGCGTTGATGGTTATTTTCTTAATATCTGTGGGATTATGTGAAATTGGTTTTATTTTGATTGCTTGGGTTTCTGTTAAATTGGTTTTAGCTTTAATTTCTTTCGGTTAGGTTTTTTGAATCTTCATGCTCATCCATCTGGGTTTTTACCAATTGCATTTAGATTCTAGATATGTGAATTTTGAAACTTGGGATTTTCCATTTGATGTAGTAGATTTGTATAGTGTGATTGTGATGAATCCTTGTTCACTACTATGTTAGTGTTGTATTGTTGTTGTGTTCATGTTATTTTGTTGTCGTATTGCTATTACAATGCTGTTATATTGCTGTTATATTTTTATTGTATTGCCTGGTTATTGTGGTTGTATTGTGTTAATGAAATGTTGTTTTGTCATGGTCAGAAATGGAGACAATTATTATTCTGGTTTGCTACAATGGAAAATGGGTAACCTCAAAGAAGATGTGCAAATACGAAGGGGGTGACTCAAAAGGCTTAATAGTTCCACGAACCAACACATTTGCTGAACTGTTGGATCGTGTGCATCAGATTGGTAATACAAACAGCAGGGAAGACAAGGTTTGCTTAAAGTTCTCAGCTTTGGTGACCTCGAATGAGTGGAAGCACATAAAGATTGAGTTGCAGGGTATCCCACCGCCCAAGCAGCCATCTAGTATTGGGCATCTGATGGATAATTTAGGGGTTGAAAGAGGAAGGAGCATGAGGTTTTGTGGTGTCATGTTTCTGTAATTTGGGGGGGTGTGATGGTGCAAGGCATGAATCGTATATATAGAGTCCATATTAAAGATATGTAATGTAAGCCATATGTCTTTTAAGGGATGTGTACTTCATCATTTTTCCAATTTTTTATTTATTTTTAATTTTTTTGGACTAAATAATAACAAAACACAAAGTCTGATGCAGTACCTACTGCAATAGGATCATATTGTAACTCTATTGTATCTCTATTGTGCTCTTATTGCTATCATATTGCCATTATACGCATGTGTATTGTGGAGTTATTGCCACTATAATTGTTTGAACTAGACATGGATAAAGGAAACTGTATACGCACAAATGCAAACAAAGGCATCATAATTCCATTAAATCCAATTTCGAAACTTACATAATACAACAAGATGCCACCCCATAGTTACATAATACAAAAAGAGGCCACCTCATAGTTCCATTTTACAAGTAGCTTTCACTACATTTTACAATGTCCGAAGTCATTAAAGTGTCACAAGTTTCCTGCTGTTGACACATTTGGAGTTGCATACTCTTCTATTGCGGCGACCGCGACCCATGAAATTCATGACCCCGCCCACAGTGATGTTGTCCCAATTTCCTTTTGGATCCACTATTTTTGCAAACTTGCGAAATAGTTCGAATTCGGTTTCCACTTGTTGTTGCTTCAACTGGGCCATTTCGTCAGATTCCTTGAATACCATAACTGCAGTGGCAAGGAACATAAATACTATAAGCATAATATGAAGTACAAAAGTTGAGGCCCTTGTCAAATTCCACTTGCCTCAATGTTTTGATACTTGCTTTTATACAACTTTTACATATCCAAATAATGGCTTCCTACTCCATATGTAATTTCACAATAAACATATATACACAGAACAGGTAATGTAGAGACTATAAATGACACCAACAATTTCCCTTCTTTGGATGAAAAAAAACAACATGAAACACAGACTTCAATTGCATAAATTGCCAAAACCATTAAAACCATAATGGAACGGGAATAAAACCATAATAAACTAGCAATACATCAACATTGAAATGCCAATACAAAACCACTAAATTGGCAATACGATAGCAAAAAACAGCACTAAAACATCAATAAACATCAATAACAACAGCAAAATAACAGCAAAACAATAGAATCCCAAATCAAAAGCAAGAATCAATCCACAAAGAACAAACCCATTCAATGTTTCAAACAAGGAATCATCAGAATCAGACAATTTCAAAGAAACCTCTCAACCCTAAACCAATTTCAGAGAAACCCCTAAACCGTTTTCAGAGAAACCCCTAAACCGTTTTCAGAGAAACCCCTAATCCAATTTAAGAGATACCCCTAAACCCTAAAACAATTTAATAGAAACCCATAAACCCTAAACCAACTTCAGAGAAACCCCTCTAATTCACATTGACGATGAACAGTACCTTTTGCAGGTGAATGATCGAAGAGGAAGACCACTTGCGTCAGAGAGAGAGAGAGAAAGCTACACGAGAGAGAGCTGCGCAAGAGAGGCCGAGAGCTTCCCGCGACGGTGAAAGAGAGAAGATAGAGTGAGAGCTGACCGAAGAGAGAGTGAGACCTAAGCAACGAAGACAGAGAGAGCTAAGCGACATAGAGAGTGAGAGGCGCAATAGAGAGAAAACAAAATTTCAGCAAAATTGATATGTATGCAATAAGTGGTCAATAAATATATATTTATAGGTGATAGTTGCAAAAATTTTTGGAAGATGTGGCATTTTCAGTTAAAATTATAAAAAGGGTGGCATTTAGAGCTATTTCCCAAATTTCTTTTATCACAGTTGCATATTGTGGATGTTTTGTTCCAACCCCAAGTGGGCAATAAGGTTACGCATTCTTTGGCCCAAGCAGGTATGCGGCTTCAACATCAGATGTTTTGGGAGGATATGCCACCTTTTGGGATTCTTCCATTGCTAGACAGAGATAGGGAGGGTGTGTAGTTTTGTTCTGTTTATGAGATGCAATGGTACTCATTTTTCTTGACCGAATTTTTCCCTACTGTGAATTTTCATGAAAAGATTTTAATAAGGCATCATAGATATGCATCCTGTACTATGACTATTTGTAATCTTGTTTTATTGAATGAAGCTCTATTTACAATAAATCCTAGACGTGCCTGCATGGGGATTCATGCATCTTTCTTTTTGAAACTTTAGGTTAGTCTTGCCATTTTTTGGATAAGTGTGGACTGGCTTAGGAAGTATATGTATTTTAAGAGCTTTTTGATCATTTGCCCAAAATTTGATAGACTTTTAAATTTTGCAATAGATAAATTAAAATATTTTCTGTAAAACCCAAATCTCTAATAGTGATTCAACTTTTTCTATAACTTGAACACAAGTGATAGTCTAAATTCCCTTCTTTATTTTAGAACATAATTGATGTTTATGACTCAAGTAAAGTGATGTATCTTAATGTTGCATAACTATTTTGGATACAAACAATATTGGAGAGGGATATGTGCTCTTAACCACTTAAGCTACAAGCTCTTTACACAAGTATTTTACTACGTAAAATAAAGTTTACTCAGAATGGTAACCATGGGAAAGGGATTCAAGAAATCCATCTAAGCTGGTGAGGTTCTTGCTCTTTAGAAAATGGGAGTACCAATGAGCAGAGAGTTTGGGTTGTCTTTTTAAATCAGGGTCGTCCAAATCGATGTAGTATAGGCCAAAGCTTGATTCATAGCCGTTCAATAGCTCAAGGGAGTCCAAGAAGGACCATATAAAATAGCCTCTGGCATTTGATCCATTCCTTCCAAAAGTAAAGATTTCATAGCATCCGTCAGTGATTAAGAACAAGTACTAGTTAGCTGTCAAACTAAGGCATAAAACAAGAAAAACCACTTAAGAAAAAAGCAAATAAAGATGATATCAGACAGTTAAAGACTTTGTAAGTGGTCAACGGTTATAGCACAGTGAAAAAAGACCTTGATTAATGTGTGTGAGAAATTCTTCATCTCCTTGTAGTTTAGACTATCGCTTATACAAAAATAAAATAAAATAAAATAAAGACTTCACAAGTGAAACGAATCTTGCCAATACTCACTTTGCCTATTTAAACAACAATTTGGGTCTTGACCTAATTAATTTCAAATTTGTTCATGTAATTAATTATTAGTTACAAAATCAGTCATTTCTTTGGCTTCAATTGTCATTTCTTGTTAAAGCAAAGTAGTCTTTTCATACCAAGGGTGGCAATTAAATTTCCCTTGTATGAACACTTTCTTGTGACTCGGATAGCGACTTCAAATGGAGAGAATAAGACAAGTCATATGACTCTTGGGTTAAATTATAACTGGAAGAAAATAGGTATACCTTACAGCTGCAAGCAAACTTTGGATATGTCCACGCAAATATTTTACCCTCGACCTATCCTCCAATGATGAATTGCGTGCAGTTTGTTGACCTAAAATATATAGGAAATGCCAATACTTTTCCAATTAGATAATGAGATAGATGAAAAGAATGTAAACATGAAAAGCTATAATTTATGACTTTATTACAAAAAGAAGAGCGAAACTAAAAGTACAACTAAACTAAATTGCAAATTGTTCCAACACTGTATAGAACTACTTTGATTAAATTTCAGCATTTAGATAGAGAGAGGGATATACCATTTTCATGGATATATATAGGGGGATTGCCATAATTTTGCTTCATATATTCCAACAGTCTTTGCAGGCCCCAGGGAGCTATTGGATACTACATCAAACAAATGCATTAGTAATGCTTGCAATTAACTCCATAAATGGTTAAACGACACTAAATTAACCCCACATCGAAAACTTGAAAAAATAAATACAATATATGATGAATGACACCATTCCTAATAACACCGAGGTCTTTTGATAAAACAACACACTTATTGAGATTTGTAAGTGGTTAAGTTGTGAACAATATTGGTGTTGCTAGTAGTGGGTCGATAACCCATCTCTTTAAAGTTAACAAGTTGTTATGTTCAAAGTTTTACCTCGAATGGTGATTCATCATGTTTCGGAACTGCACAGATAAACTTTGTAAGTTAAATCAATAATTATATCATGTCTTAACCAAGATAAAACTTGCCCTATAGTGGCCAATGCGCACATTAAAACAGTACAAAAAAGATGTAATCGATGAATCATGTAATAAAAACTAATCATTTTGTGAATATTTAATTAATCTTGGGGTAAACCTTGAAGCCAATAATTCAAAGCTTCAGTTTTTTTTTCTTTTTTTAACATCCGATAGATATTTACCAATATATTTTCACAAAGGCTGGGCTAATACATCCACAAAGTTATGCTACGTACCATAATGGGATTAGGCCACAACTAGACTGTTAAAGATTGGCTCACCATAGATGCGAGAGAAATAGCAATTGTACAATCTCGACGACCGGTCGTCGCGCGCTGTTTTTGGCGTGTTTTGATGTGGTTTCCTATTATTTTGGGCTTTTCTAGTACAATTTAATAGGGTTTTAGTTTCCTATTCTTAGTAAACTTGTAACCCAAGTCCTATGAGTTATAAATAGAACTTTTAGGGCTAGGTTAATTTAAGAGAGGAGAATTCAAAAGTGAATTTTGAAGAGAGAAACATAAGATTGAATTCAAGGGTGAATTCTTGAGTGTTTACAAGGGCATCAAAGGGTTTGAGCAAGTGTGTGAGAGAAATTAAGACCTAGAGTTTGAGGTGATAGAAAGCTAAGGGGGTTCTTGCTATAACCAAAGTTGTTCCTATTCTTCTAGGGAAATTTCTAGAGGGGATCACCAAAGAGGACGTAGGAATAAGGCCAAATCTCTATAAATCTTTGTGTTCTTGTGTGTTTGCTTACTCTCTTTGTGGTGTGTGTATGTGTGTATTTTATTTTCAAGGGGTTTGTGTGTGTGCTGTCGCATAATCCATCAACGACAAGGTCTTGGAGTGTTTCCGCACAATATCGACGTTGAACTCTTGAATTCCTTTTTTTTCTTTTAAATGAACCAGGGGTAAGAACCCCAAACAAATAACTCTTGAATTCCTCCAAACATAGAACTTCGACAAGTTATCTATTGTTGTTAATTACCATGACATATTGGTACTGGAGATTGGTTTGTTTTAGAGATTGGCCACATTGTGATTATGAATTTAAAAGGCATTAGAGGCAAATTCATCATTTGGGATCTTTTTGGTTTCTTACAATTGTCTTATACTGGTTTGTGAACATTTGATGCAAGAATTGTTATTGGAATGAAAGATCTTCTGAATGATGGGCTAAAAGAAATCGAACCCACATACGTGTAGCAAAAACTTGATTAAATAGTTTGATATATAAATATACGTATAGCAAAAACTTACGTATTGTCTTCATTGCCGAGTCAGCAATATAGTCTCTGTTTGTATTCTTTAAGCTGATGGAGTTGTCCTCGGCGTATACGGCAGTATAATAATTAAATCCTATGAAGTCAAACGAACCCTTGACACTTTGAGACTCAAGCCTAGTGAAGAAAGGAATTCTAGAGCCTGCATTTTTTTTCATTACATCCGGGTAATCTCCAAACACCAAGGGATTCAAATACCTGCAACACAAAATAGACACAATGGAATTACAATGCGTTTGCAGTTAAGACAAGTAAATAACAATTGACATATATATATATATATATATATATATCGGTTTCACATAGTAGCTTGATCATCCACACCATCTATTTTTGAT